GTTTCCCCCCCCTCTCCCTCCCCCGAGGTCTTGCTGAAGCTTTTAGCTCGTCTGCCTTTCTATCCATCTGACCCTCCGCACTCTCAGATTATCTCCCGCTCCGGGGTAATCTCTGCTCCTGATTTAATGCAATCCCATGTAGACCGTGCACACGTGTGCTTTATTTTGCTTCTGTTTTTTTTTTTTTTTTAAGCGCCTCTGTGTTTGGTCTCCTTGCGTCCCGCCGCGCGCCCCGCCTCCGTCCCGTGCTATTCTGTTCTTAGCAATTCGGTGCTAATGCAATCGGGACTTCTTCGGGAGTGTGGTGATTTCCTTTTATCCTCGCATTTAGCGTTTAACAAAGGATTGTGACATTTAGGTGGTGGGGAAGGGATAGTCTGGATTAGAATCTAATCTCGTCAATCATCACTTACACTCGTTTGCTCCGCACTCGGTGTAAACATTAAGCGTTTTAAAAGTAAACATGGGATTACTTCCTGAGCGCCACAGAAAACGTGTATGGACCCAACAGCTTTTTGTTAGAATACAGAATAAATGAAGAGCGATCCCATTATGCTGCAGCGGTGTCGCCGATTAATCAAGTCGGAACTCTGCAGCCCGCTTTATCAGATGGACTCGCACGCCATATTGTACGATTTCATCATTTTAAAGAGACGTACTGAGTAGTTGTGGACCTGCATCCCTCTAGTGAGGTGTGTGTGTGTGTGTGTGTGTGTGTGTGTGTGTGTGTGTACAGTGGCAGCTGTGGAGGAGATAATCCGCAGCCTGGACCAAAGCTTCGCAAATAGAAACTCCTCCAACTATTGTGGATTAAAGAGACAAAAAGAAATCTTTACAGAGGGGGAGGCAGAGGGGTGAGAGGGGAGGGGAATGCACACACAGGCAGACTTCAGGCCGACACAATGCTGCGGTTGTCTCCTCTGTACGGTTAAAAAAGAAGAAGAAAAAAACTGCCAGCCAAGCAAATATTTTGTTCTGCTTTTTCCGCCTGGCCTTCCATTCTTTTCGGTTTTAGAGCCACTGTAAGCATTCCAGTTCAAATGTTCACTCTGAAGGCACGTCGACGAGGACAGATTCTCTGTGAGGAGACGTGTCATCATCCGCTCTAATCTTCAGAATGAGTTTAGCAAAACAATACTTGGCAGGTCGGCTTTCCACCGTTAGGATGTTGCCAAAGTTTAAGTAGATTTTTAAAGCTTTCTGGCAGAGATTTGGTTAATTCACCGTAAAAGGCTAATTGTTGTTGCCTTTGAGTTACTGTACAGATTCAACAGATGAGATCTATGTATGTTTTTTCTTCCCATTTCATTTGCGTATGCCAGACTAAGCAGGGGCTGCTGGGATCGGCATCAATGTTTCACAGTAGTGTATTCAAGTGTGTCCATTAGTTCATTGCACCACAGTCGTGGAAATATTAATACAAGAGCCTGTTTTAATCACAACAACCAGCCTGACAAAACGACGAGGGAAGTTTCTGATCGTCTTTTAGCTTTACTGCTGTTGAGTCAATGGTGTCTCTTTTTAGGGAAAGGAGATGTATGCAGTATTTATACCAGGAGTGGAAAACCCTCTCACTTAATGGCGTTCTAAGAACACTTATTAATTATTAAGATGTATTACCCGACGTATTCTGCTTATTGACGACATGCTTTAACAGTTTCACCTCTGGCAGTCGCCGTAGCTAACTTCAGTTTTCTTTGAACAGGCAGAGTAATCCTATTTTATTTTAGCAGATAACATAAATACATTTGCATTATTTGTCAATAGCTGTATACTACTGATACTACTAGACGTCTCAGTGGGGCTCACCGGCGCCAAACAGCTGTTCAGGTGGCCGGCGGTCCTTTTCCACGTCAATGAATGAACGCGTTTGCTCGGGAAGAAAATACAGTGAAACGGCCGGAATCATCCAGAATACTGTGATGTGTATTTTTGGCCGTACGTCTCACTCGATCACATATTTCCAGAGCGCATGAAAGAAACGGCTTGATGTCATTTTAGGCTGCGTTAAAGCCATTTCCTATTTTGTGTTGAGCTGGAAAAGGATGAGTTTGTTTCAGTGCTGCACTCGGCCCCGCTGTCAGCATCGGTGAGACCGGTCGAGCCACCACAACAACACAGCAGGACATGTGAGCATATGTCCCTCTGCTCAAAGGACGTGACCCCAATCTGCTGCACAGTTCTGGCCTGCACTCTATTATTGCAGGCTTGCAAACGGAAGGAAGGCCAAAACATTTAAAAAATAACAAGATTAAAAAAATTGGTACTTAAAATTGAGTAATGATAATTCCCCCTCTGCATCCCACATTGAAAGTTGGATTGGGATTTGCTGAGACAGTGACTCGGTAAATATCTCTTCAGCATCTCTAGCATCTCATATAAGGTTGTGAGCACAGCTCTATTATTAACCCTGGTTGTAGACAGGGTAATTATTTATTAGGTTATTAGGTTACTCCCGTTTGTAAAGAAAGCGACTGGTTGACATGTGTCTCCTCAACGATGATGAGACATGTTGGAGGGAGACGACGTATCAGGAGCATCATCCAGCAGCGCTCCCTTTCTGTTGCATTCACTTTATGACTTTAATCTCTACTTTCCTCTTGCAGGAAATGAAAATGAGAAATGTTCCTTACTTGACGCCAATCTGTCGGGACGAGTTTGTCCAGTCGATGGAGGTCAGAGGTCAGGGGGAAGCTCAACAGCGCTGCTGGAGCCGGGAGGATCTTTTTGAGTGGACGCCAGCCAACAAGTGGGCTTGATCCAAAGTCGTGAGGACGAAGCATAGTCTGATTGCTCGGTGACTTTTCCATCTACAATATTGTACCAATGTGTGCGTTTTGTACGCATTGGTGTTTCCCCCTCGGCTCCAAGCAGTACGGTTTTATTTGTATATGTTCAATGTAAGCCATTTTTTGTACTTCTCCTGTCCAGTAGCTGTACGAGGTTCTCAAACCGAAGCCGTCCTATTGCTCTGGTCAATGCCCCAAGACTCCATTGACAAAAACATCTGCTCTGAAAAGTCCTTTCAATGCCACAGTCCACTGTGGTGTGTCGCCTCTACAGATACAGAGCAGCCCGGTCAGTCCACTCGTGTGGTTGCGACTTGTCTGCATTCGATGGTCTGCTATGAATTTTTCCACGCGACCCCCAGAGGGTTCGGCCTCACACCGCCGCTAGAGTGGCTGCAGACTCTTTGTCTCGTTAGCCTTCATATCCAATAGACTCCCACAAGGCCAGCTGTTGGTTCTTAAAGGTCGGCGTGCTGTGTCGACACGCGGCCCGGAGGCTGACGCTCTTTGTGTCACGTTGAAGAGCATCAACACACTCGCCAAATGCGGCTCGTCCCATTTCACACACATGCACTCAAATGTCTGCGCTAAACACATGCACATGTATCTAACAACCAGCCACCCACACACAGTCCTCATTTCAACCTACTTCTGTCTTTGGTCGCAGCCTCTCCCTAATCCAGTAATGCAGGTCTTGTGCAGGATCAGCATCTGGGGGGGGCAGGTCGGTGGCAGCTGGCATTCTGCAGGCTCACTGGAGCACAGAGACACTCACCCTGCACGGGGGCCGGTGGGACAGCTGTCTTTGGCCCTAGGGGGGGGGAGTGCATCCGCCCACAACGACCACTAAACCATATCATTTATAAAAATACGTTGTCTGTCAAATCTCAGCTGGATCGGGTCGTGTGCCAAATATGTGAGATTTTAAATTCATTCATTCGACGTGTGGTTGTGACTCTGTCCGTCTGACTGGAGGAGAGCGCCAGGAACGAAGCTCAGAGAATCACACGAGTGACGGCTCGCGTGTTTTTCCCTCTTCTGCTGCTTTTCAGTGGGTACCCCCCCCTCCTACCCCAGCGGATATTCAGTGGCCGAGACGATCAAGCAGCCTCCTCTCTGGTTTTGTGCGCAGTCATTCACACGGAGGCTGCATGACTCAGTGCTGCTGCTTAGTTTTCCGCAGAAGTTTCTACTCGTCTGTAGTCGTTCCAACACAGATTTTGCATTCCTGTAAGGACCCTTCTTTGGATGATGGGTTTTGTCTTTCAAAGGAATAAATCATCCACAAAATGACTGCGGTTCCCTAACCCATCAGAATATAAGTTCTCCATTAAAAATGAGGATTGTCTAAATAAAGATGTAAAGAAAATAGTCACACTGTCTTTTTGGGGGGATAATTCCTGTAGTTAAAATCTGGCTCATGTTTCCCTCCACTACGATGTCTGTATTCATGGGAATTTCTTCTATTATAGATTCCCATATCGCCCCGTCTCTACCTCAATAATTCACTGTTTCCTTGACTTCTTGGAGGGGGAAAAACAAGAATTCTCATTCCTCAAACCAAAATCCCAAACTGTGGATGACTTGGAGGAAATGAGGACCGTGTTTCATAACTGCAAACATCCAAACACTGGCTTCTCACACATGCACTCTAACACGCATCATATTCCTTTATTCAGTGGTTTGCTCAGTAAGAAACAAAAAGGAAACCATTTCAAGACGATTCCTCCGCTCCCGTCCCATTAACGGTTAGCAGAGGGAGTGTTTTGAAAAGTATGATTCCCCCTTTCTAGTTTTTCAATGGGTTCAAATAAGTAGCATAGCTTTTCTTTTTTCCACCGCTAGATGGGGAAACAAGTGACGAGTGGAACAACTGTCACGTTCCGTTTTATTTAATTTAGAGGAATCGGCTCAAGGTTAACGTCTCCCTGAGCCCGGACGCACACTGGCAGCGCCACACTGTCACAAACGCTGCTCGCACGCAGGCGCTTTTCTTCAATTCGATTGTTTGTTTGTTTTTGTAGTTGGCTAATGTTTACCGACCAGCTGTCACACACACACACACACACACACACACACTCTACGGGCACCGTGTTGAGTGAGAGGAAATGAAAGCTGCATTTAGGAGGTTGGCTGCTCTCCGTTGTTGACATTTGTGCGTGGCACTAACCACTCCTTGTTCCCCTCCTTTTTTTCTTTTGTCAACACCAGGTATTAAATGAAGAGTGCGACCAGAACTGGTACAAGGCGGAGCTAAATGGAAAAGATGGCTTCATTCCCAAGAATTACATAGAGATGAAAGCCCATCCGTAAGTATCACGCACGCCGGTTTCTCCCTTTGTTTCTTTATGTAAATGTGTCCGTGGAAGTGCGCTGCAGACTGCACGCGAGATGCAAAGTGTTCCACTCCTCTTGTTTTCGTGTGTGTGTGTGTGTGTGTGTGTGTGTGTGTGTGTGTGTGTGTGTGTGTGTGTGTGTGTGTGGCAGCAGGAACATTTCCTGTGGACCTGTCCTCTGTGTCAGATTCAGCTCTTTATTAATTGGCCCCAGGCCTCAAGCGCTAAATTGAATATTGACCATACAGCATCATTGTTGGGTTGCGATCAAATAGAACTTTTTTTTTTTTGTTACTGTTGGCCTTGTTCTCCTTGTTTTTCTCTCCCCCCTGCTTCTCTTCTTCTGCCCTTTTGTGCCAGTGCAACAAAATGGAGTCCTGCCACTTTATGGTGATGGGTAATAACTATACAGCTGTGCCTCATCCATCGCCTTTTGCTCAGTCATCCTATTGACTGCAACGCTCTTTGCAAAATGTTGCATGCCATGTCGCAAATCATTGCGACTATTCGGTAAAAAATGATTGTCATTGTCTTTCTCAACCGGTTATTCTGAGACTGCGTATGTATCAGCCTTAGGGTCTCTCAGGGAGTTGTAGAATTGTCTTACTCGATGGGTAGATGGTGGATGCTGTGATTAGTGGACCGTGTGGCTCGAGACATAATTGAAATATTTAGGTACAAAAGCCGACGTCGTCACCACATTTAAGTCACTTGTGACGTGAACTCCTCCTCAAATCAATTACTACGCTATTATAACTCCTCAAGGTCTGAGGCTCCATCAAAGCGCCTGGCGCTCGTCCCGACCACATCAGAGAGGGAGCATGACAAGACTTTCGCTTTTAGAAGGCTGGGAATGTGCACAGCCTGGCATTTCTACACGAGATGTGATCTGTGGCAGGACAGCATGCCTTGTACCTGACGCTGCGCCCAATCTTTATTCCAGCACCTAAAAAATAAGGCCGCTGGGCGTGTGGGTTCCACCCAGCCGCACGCATGCACTCCTGAACACACACGTGGTAACCTGCTTTCTGCAAGTGCAGATAATGCTCCTGAGCTTTTATTGTGAAAGGGTTGACTACACTGCTGGATCCTAGGAAAAACTACAAATTATAGGCTGCACTGATGTGTGACAGGTCGGCTAATGCTTGATGGGTCTCCGCTTTAAAGCGCCGGCCCACCCTGGTGCGCCATCGAGTTGCCCTTCTTACCGCCCAGCTATCGCCCAGGCATCGTTCGAGGCGCACCCGTCTTTGGGAATCACAGGAGCGCCTCGCCGAGAGAGATCGGTGCGATTACCTGGTGTCTGGGTTAAATATAGAATTGCAGTAAAAACTGCAGCGACCGGCTGGGAACAGTGGTGACGCTGATGAAGCGGGTGCCTCCTCCCCCCCCTTTGCTCGGCGACAACCCGGAAAAAGCACCAGGCACCCGACCGACGTGCACACGCAGCTGCAGCGTGCAGCACGGCTCTGAGTCCTCTGTTGGGTGGAGAGGCGGAGCAGGGGTGGGGGGGGGAGGTGTGGCTGCGTGCCGTGTCCTTGGGTCCTCTAATGGCCCCCCGCTTTGCCCAAAAAGCACGTGTCAGATCAAGAGGTGGCCGTTTCCTTCGTGTAGCAGCCGAGATGTCATCTTTTGTCTGACAGTACTTTTTAATTATTTATACAAGCGAAGAGCTTCTCCTTCTGCCGTGGTCTCCCAGTTGTCCCCCCTCCACCCTCATTCTGCATCCGTCTTAATCACTCTCACTCCTCCTCTGTGTCGGGGAGTGTGAGCAGCACATATGCAACTAGAGATGAATGTTTGCTGCTTTAGAAGTGGCCATTTAAATGTATGGAAGGAGCGACTTTTGAAACGTCGTCTCGGACTCAAAGGTGAACTGAGTAGAAAGATTCAAAGGTCACTGAGCTCACAAAAACACGTTTCGGCAAGAATCTTTTCCGCTAATTTTGAATTTGACACAAATGTCTCAGAGGATGAAATGATAAAGTGACGGCACCGTATAACAGACTCTGCGGCGGAGGAAAGAGCCGCGTGTTGGTGCTCGCTGTCGTGTAGGAAATGACTAATGTACTTCCTGGTCTACGGGTTGACATTGAGCTGGATGGGACCGGCCGATCCAAGTGTCCCAGTGTCTTCTCCCTCCTTTGTCTCATACGCACACTGGTTCCTGTCTGAGGCTCCTTTGGGTCGGCTCGGTCCGTGCTCACGCGTACTTGTCCCCCACAGGTGGTTCTTTGGGAAGATCCCCCGCGCCAAAGCAGAGGAGATGCTAAACAAACAGAGGCACGACGGGGCCTTCCTCATCAGAGAGAGCGAGAGTGCGCCAGGAGACTTCTCCCTCTCCGTGAAGTGAGTAGCGCCGCATTTTCTATAAATACCGCCCGCCGTCAAGCTCGCGGCAGCGGGCCGTTTCCTAAGCAGTGAGGTTCGGGTTCAACTGTTTCCATACTTGGTCCGTCTGAGTCATCCGCCTGCTTCCTCAATCTCGTGCAGACTCGGTGCCGCCCTCTGGTGGTTCAAGTTTGCCGGTTATGATTTGAATTGTGTGCTTTCGCCCTGCCACTACTTTGTGTTTTAGCTCGCGCACGCAGTTTCCTCTTTATTCATCTTCTTCCCAGAACACCTCAGTTCACAGCAGGTCACATGTTCCGTTGAAGCTAAGTTAGGGATCATAATTACAATTGTATTTAATCTATTTAATCAGCTGAATGTCTGAGATCTCTGTGCCCGTCTAACAGGCTGTTATTGTTAATACCCCCCCCCCCTCTTTTCCTCCCTGTGCCCTCCTTGCAGGTTTGGAAATGACGTCCAGCACTTCAAGGTTCTTCGTGACGGGGCTGGGAAGTATTTCCTCTGGGTGGTGAAGTTCAACTCCCTCAACGAGCTGGTGGACTACCACCGCTCCACCTCCGTCTCTCGCAATCAACAGATCTTTCTGCGAGACATCGAGCAGGTCCCACAGGTAAGAACGGACATCCCTAAGGGTGGTGGGGGGGTTGGGGGCGGCGTGGCTGTGTCGTGGTCTTTTGGGCCGGTCAAAGGGATGGTTCAGCTGTTTTTAAAGTGAGCTTGTATGAGGTACCGTACAACCTACAGTAGGTAGTAGATGCAGCCAGGAGCACCGACCCAAAGACCAAATAGCCGTCGTGTGTGTGCCAATTCCATCCCCGGCATATTCGGCTGAATTTGGATGCAGTGTTTCCTGTTTAGCTATTGGAAGGTGCACCTTGAAGGATTGTTGTACAGATCTCATGACATGACTCAGAAAGTCCTGTAAAAGTTGAATATCTCTATATTGTTTTTCTGTCACACATATATAGTGTGTGTGTGTGTGTGTGTTATATATAGTCATCTGGTCATCACATGAGACCCTTGCTAACGCTCCCTCCTCTCGGCCCCCCAGCATCCCACGTACGTGCAGGCGCTCTTTGACTTCGACCCCCAGGAGGAAGGAGAGCTGGGCTTCCGACGCGGAGACTTCATCCAGGTTCTGGACAACTCCGACCCCAACTGGTGGAAAGGGGGCTGCCACGGCCAGACGGGCATGTTCCCCCGCAACTACGTCACGCCTGTCAATCGGAACATGTAAACAGTAAACAACACACCGTGTAAACGATGACAACAACCACAGAAGCAAAACAACACCACCATCGTCATCCTCATCGTCCTTGATCCCATCAGCCCCAAACAACAACAACAACAATCGCCCCCCTCCTCCCCCATCCAACCGCCCCACCTCGCCCTCCCACCAGAACAGGAGCAGACAGGAAGAACGCAAACGGCCAACAGAGAAATAGAGAGAATGAGAGCAGGCGGGATAAATTGGGTGTAGTGGCGTCGCTGTGTCGGCTAAAATCATAAAAAAAACTTTTACTCGTGCCGAGTTTGTCGGCCGGCCCCTGAACGCCTCGGCTGAAGGACGTAGCGCTCTTTGAGGGAGATCTGAGCGCAGAGAAACTAAGAGTAGTGCACCACCTGTGAAGATAACCGACCGATGGTCCCACCGCTGCTTCTGTCTTCTGCTTAACTTCTTAACATTCTGCCCCTTCTTTTGTGGGGTCTTTGTTCTCTCCCTCCCCCACACTTTCTTTCTTTTGTTTTGTTTGTTTTGCCGCATGTTTTAATTACCTAAATGAAATGCCTACCGATAAGTCCTAACTCTGTTTTAAAGAAAAAAAAATGCACCAAAAAAAAGAACAAAAAAAGCTGAAGAAATTGTTTTAAAAATATACAAAAAAGAAGAGAGGAAAAAAAAGATGCAATCTACAGTACTGCAAGTTTCCATGTGTAAGATCCTTGGCACGAGAGCATTGTACATCAGCCCCCGGCTGTATAAATAAATCAACTATAGAGAGAATCCATTTTTTAAGAATATATATTATATATTTGTATGTGTTTGTCTGTTTTACCATCCGAAATTGTATTTTTTTTTTTCATTTGTAAATGATGTTTTCTTTCATAGTCTGGATAAGACATAGTAGCTCTAGGATATGCTGATTTATCTCCTTCTTTCTTTTCCTGAATCTATCTGGGGGCCCTCCAACAACGCAGCACGATATTTCAGCGGTCATAAATTCCATTGGAAGAGGCTTCTCTTGTCGGCGAGCGAAGGTGAAGTTAGTTCTCTGAGAGGAAACCGATCCCGTGAGGAAAGCTGTCGTATGACGCATCCCCATGTGGAAGGTCAAGCCACCTGTTTTTTGTTCAAAGCCAATGTATTTATTGCAGCCATTTTACTTGGGCAGCGAATGTAGCTGACTCGAGTCCACAGACATTCACACGAGGGGAGCGAGGTCGGAGGACTGAACTACACGAAACGTGCAAAGGATTCCTGCGATGGCCTTCGTTCAGGAGAGGCGCCGCGTGTGTGTGTGTGTCTGTGCTTCTGGGGACACGTGCCGGTAGTCCACGTGAATATTCACGGGTGTCCGTCATGAGTACACGCCAACACGCGCACGCACGCCGCTCTCCTCCTCGCTATACCTGCACGTAGCAGAGAGGCCGAGTTCGGAGAATCGCGCCGTGTGCGAAAGTCACCGGTGCAGATTAACAGTTCAGAAAACCGAGAGATTCTTTTTATGCTCAAAGTTGAGGGATCAGCTTCAATGATGTAAACGTTGTTTTGTTTTTGTTTCTCTTCTGTCCAGTGTGGCATGTGGTCAAGCACTTTTCTGTTTTCTCTAAGCATTTTGATTTCTGGTTGTGTGTGTGTGTCCTTTGTTCAGTGTTTGTGTTGTCTTTGTGTTCTCTCTGGATAGTGCCTTTCTCTCTGGTGTTTCAGTGTCTCCGACCTGCTACTTTGAGCCCCCCCCTCCCAACCCCCACCCACGCCATTGGGGCCTGCCAGTCCTGCAGTGAGAAACAGTGTATATAAACCAACCCCTCCGATCCAACAATGACCCCCTCACCTCCCCCACTACATCAACCCGCCTCCACAGTTTATCCTCACCACCATGGAACTCTCCTTATTTAAGTGTCTCTCGCCTCGTCTTACCTAATGATACTGGGTTTCTTTTTGTTTTTGCTCTTTTTTTTATTTGTTTTTTTGTTTTGTTTTTTCAATTAATAAAATGCAATTATTATAAAATGAGAATTTGTTGTGGTTTATATTTAAGATACAGATTGACGTCCCTCATAGACGAGGAGATGGTGCGCACTTCCTGACCAGGGGTTGAGAAACAAACACAAACTTGGAAGGCATTTTTAGAAACGTTCTCAAAATAATGTTTCTGTTACTGTTGAACACTTTATGGTTTTCGCGTGCTCAAATTAAAAGTAAAGGTATGGCGTTGCTGGGTCTGCAAATATAAGCCTGTTAAAATGTTTCATTTATAAGAGGGAAAATGGGTTATTTTCACTTTTAATATGTATTAATTTGCTAAACCTTTTGATGGATTAAACTGTGATGGTCACGTGATTAATGAGCGCTTTTGGAGACTTGAGCAGCTCAGCTGTGATCACGAAAGCTGTAAACAAGAATAGAACACACACGTGTGAGGGGGAAAAAACCGGACCACATCTTTTCTTTTCTCTGCGCATCTAATTTCAAATCGACCCGTGCGTCGATGTCCGCGCGCAACGGAAAAATCCATCCGGAGCGTCACAGCCGCGTCACTCATGAGGAATGCGCTGAAACACGCAGCACACACTCACACACGGAGGATCACGTGTGACCTCCTGACCCCGATGTGGCGGCAAAGCAGGGACCCCGTCCATGTGCTGCATGGACACATTTTGACGCGCATCGATGTCTGCGATGCACATACGGACTCTTCCAGACGTCGTTACATCTCCCACTTTCCAGCCCTCTGCGACGGAGAGAGGATGAGACTTACCAGCCACGTGACCTCTGATGTGCGCGTGTGAGAAACTATGTAAACTTGATACGCGTTACATAACCTGTGAGGCTGCTTTGTTCGCACATCGCACACGTTAGATGTGCAGACAAAGGACGGTAGACTTCCTCGTCCCTCCACAGTGAATCTGTCATATTCTGGTACAAGATAACGTCAAAGGCGTCATTTATGGTACACGACTGCCTCCTACTGGCTGATATCTGCACTACCTGGAAAACAGTAACCATGGTGTCAACTTAAAATGAATGTTCTTAATTTTCTTTTATAACCACATGAATCAGAGACCCAATATGGGAAACAAAGTGCATTATAAATCAGCGGTGGTCACATTTCCTGTTTCATGTTACTATATAATTAAGTAAAAGTGACTTCTCAAACAGTATATTTGCTTCAATGGAATGCTTGGTCTCCTTTATACAAATATCTGTGTATTATTTTTTATAAATACACAACATATTGTTTTCCACATTAGCTCATGTCTTCCTCTGTCACTCTTATTTCAGGACAGCTTGTTTTAAAGAGAGCTTTTTAAACACAACATTCTGCCCCTGTGTCTTTATGAAAGAAAGGAACGGGGTATTATAGTAGTTAATATATTTTCCTCCGATGTAAATAATATTTGAATTGCCTGTCTGCGCAAGTGTGCAGTGTTCCAGTGCTTCAGTTTTGATGGATTATTTTGTCATGTAAATAAATGTGACTTGTGACTTTGCTCTTGTCATTGGGTTGATTACATTGATTTGACTAAATGCATTGTCCCTTAATTACGTGCAGTTAGTGTATTTGTAGGTGTCGAGCTTCATGTAACATTCTATTTCACTTTAAACGTTGCGGTGTTATGTGAATAAAAAAGCATAACTTGTAGCTGGGGCGTCATGATGAGGTTATTAGGTCATTCAACGGCAAAGAGGGCCCAGGTAGGAGGTGCACGGCCCGCTGCAAACCGCAGGGGGCGCTGTGACATTAGAGAACACAGTACAGTACTTCACATCATTACGATGGTTATTCATCCGCTTCCAGAAGAACGTCCTTACAAATCATTGCTGACATTTTGCCACTACAGCTCTGTAATAAATGGGTGGAAACTGCTTTGCTAAAATAATGTGTTAAATACCAACAGTTAGAACAGAATAAAAGTTTGACGTTGTCGGCAGGATTCGAACCTGCGCGGGAAGATCCCAATGGATTTCTAGTCCATCGCCTTAACCACTCGGCCACGACAACCGATGAAGACACTTTAAGCATCACAATATTTGACTTGTAAGGATCTTACAGTTTCGCACTGTATTATTGTTATAGGTAACACAGCTCAATAAGGGATCACTAGTGAGCTCGACTTTAGGAAAGTCCTGCGTAAAATTGAAACAAGTCAAGATATAAAGAATATAAGCCGCTCAAATATTTTAATTATAGCCTTTCACACATCCACATTCTAAAAGTCTAAATACGCATATAACAGGGCAACGCCTCAAAGGTTTATCTTGTTATAATTGTATCTTGTTTGCATGGCATGATCTGCATTCATTTTCTCTGGTGTTTGCTCCCATTGCTGTTTCCAAGCCCGGAGAAGATGCTACGATCGACCACGATTCATTTCCTGCTAACGGTTCTTATTAAAACTGGAACTGCAGACATACTTCATACGTCAGAAAAAAAAACAGTTGACGCGGTGATATGATGTGAAACTAATTTGAAGTAATTGTCATTTCGCTCATTGTTGCCACAGAGCTGGAAGCAGGGGAACCACGTGACGTCTCTAGTGCGAAGCCTCCTGTTTGTTCAGCCAGAGAGGCAGAGAAGAAGAAAAATGGCGGCTCTAGGCGAACCCGAACGGGACGCCGGGCTAACGTTTTGAGCTTTGAAACCCTAAACAGACCCGAGGGCTCCACGGGGTTCCTGCGCCGTCGCGACCCTCACCGCTCCGGCTTTGTTGGGGGTGCCGATTTCGCTCGCGCTCGAGTCGGTTTAATCCACGCAAAAATTGGGATCGTAAAATAATATTTTTCGCCTATCATGAGAGGGAAAAGGGGCAGGCCGCCAAAACCGCTACAAACCGAGGACTCGTCCCCGGCTACGGCGCGGGGCTTGCGACCTCGGAGGAACCTGAAGCCCCGGTTCAGGGACAGCGGGGACGAGGACGCGGAGAGCCCTACGCGGGAGCCCACCAAGTCGGCGAAGAAGAGGAGAGCGGGAGCCGTCACGTCAACGCGGGGCAGGGGACGAGGTAGAGGCGGAGGCTGTGGAAGAGGAGGCAGAAGGGGCCGCGGAGGAAAGCGGGCGGCTGTGTGCAAAACCGTGGTGTACGACGACCACGAGAGCGACGAGGACGACGACGCCGTCAGTCTGCGGTCGGAGGAGGACGAGTTCGTCGAGGAGGAACCTCAGTCCGAGGAGGACGAGGCCCTCAAAGAGGAGTCCGATTGCCTTGACGATGATGTGCTGGACGAGGACGAGGAGGCGGATGATGCCAGCCACTGCACAGAGAGCAGCTTTCGGAGTCAGAGCACACACGCCAGCACCCCGGGTAAACACACGCCGTGATCGGGCCGGGGGCTCGGTGGTCGCGACGCCCAACGCCGGGGTTGGAAAACGCATCTCGAAATGCTGTTAATGACTGTTTTTAGATCCGTGCAGGAAGCAGTAAGGTTATTGTTCAAAATGGAGAATGCACACTGTATGGACACAGGCCGCAGTCTGCTCGTTAGTGCTACTGCAGGTGGATCGGTAGTTGTGCGGTGCTGTTCGGTGTCTTTGTGTCCATCGGCGTCCGTCCGCACATCGCGACAAATAATGCGCACATATTTAGAGAGTAGCCGCCAACCCCTCTTACTCGCAGTGATGTCCAGTTGCATTTAAGTTCACAACTTCGCTGCTAGCTTGCTAGCGTTAGCAAGTCAGATTAGCTCATGCTCGCGCTGTCACCCTGAGGTCCGGGCGCGAGACAACTGGACACTAAACGTTACGTTCCCATAGTTACCATCAACACCCGCTGCTTTATATATGTCACGGATATATGTAGTATTTTCTGACTGAAACTAATTCAAAACGAACACCAAAGCTAGCTAGCTAGCTAACCTAGCGCCTTGTTAGCACGTCTGTTTTATTTACACTTTGGCGGCTTTCATGTGAGTTCACCGGACAGATAAAGTCTCTAAAGTTCGGTTGAAGTGTCTCTGACTGTGTCACGCACAGAGAAGAGGTTATAACAAGTGGTCTGTCCAACATTTTCATTTAATAGTCTGCTGGACAGTTAATGTTTTGCTAGATGCTGCAGGATGAGGCAGCCTCATTGAGCCAATGGTGACAGTGGCCATGTGTTGAGCCACAGAAGCACACCAACTATGTTCTATTGTTGCTGGATTATGGAGATTTAACCAGCTGTGGGTTTGGGAATCACGCAAATAATGATTTAGAAATCGCCCTCTACACAGTATATGTAGTTACATGTTTCAAAAATATGCTTCCTAAAGATGGGATATCCTCATAAAGGCCTGACATCAGTACAGTATTTTGACTCTGTACCTCAAATTACTTCACTAATATAATATGTGTTTCCTACAGGAAAGAAAAAAGTCCGGCCCCCCAGACCACGCACTCCCACCTTCGAGGAGAAGGAGATTCCTCCTCTCGAGCTTCCTGACACTTCCCAGGACCTGCTGGTGCCTAATGACGAGCTGCTCAACGCCGCCTCCATCTACGAGGTGCTGCGTAACTTCAGCACGGTGCTGCGTCTCTCCCCCTTCCGCTTCGAGGACTTCTGTGCAGCACTGGTCGGCCAGGAGCAGTGCACTTTGATAGCGGAGACCCATAACGCCCTCTTGAAGGTCATCCTACGCGAGGAGGACACCTCCAACACCACCTTCGGCCCCGCGGACCTCAAGGACAGCACCAACTCCACCCTGTACTTTATCGACGGCATGACGTGGCCCGAGGTGTTGCGGGCGTACTGCGAGAGCGACAGGGAGTACCATCACGTCCTGCCCTACCAGGAGGTGGATGAGTATCCCTACGGTCCGCTTGAAAGCAAGATCAAGGTGTTACAGTTTTTGGTGGACCAGTTCCTCGCCACCAACATCGCCCGCGAGGAGCTGATGTCCGACGGCAGCATGCAGTACGACGACCACTGCCGCGTGTGCCACCGCCTGGGCGAGCTGCTGTGCTGTGAGACCTGCTTCGCAGTCTACCACCTGGAGTGTGTGAAACCCCCGCTGGAGGAGGTTCCAGAGGACGAGTG